AACTATTTTCAATCTGTGAATCCATTTTTTTAACGTGTTGAAGTATATTAGACACGAACCGTGATGAGTATAGTTCCTAGTCGTTCCTTCCTATGAGTCGACCCGTGATGAGTCGACCCGTGATGAGTCGTTCCTTCCTATGAGTCGACCCGTGATGAGTCGTTCCTTCCTATGAGTCGACCCGTGATGAGTCGTTCCTTCCTATGAGTCGACCCGTGATGAGTCGTTCCTTCCTATGAGTCGACCCGTGATGAGTCGTTCCAACAGGTTTGGACGTGGATGGACTTATTGTGAGTGTGATTAAACAGACTTATAATGTACACACACACACACATCATTGTATAACATTGTATGCACATCATATAATGCAGCCGCTATATCTACATCTATATTTATATGCAGCGGCTTTTGTGATGGCATCACTGCTATAAAGTGACTGCTGTTTTTTTTAGGGGGGGGGGAGTAGCTGTTATTAATTCTTATGAGCGAGATATCCGATAGCTTCGTGACCATTGTTGGCACTGGATGAGAGATGTGCGAGTGTTCCAGCGCATTTATAAACTTTTTTTTTTCATTTTGAGGCTTTTTTTCAAATTACAAAATAATAGTTATTTTTGAGATTCCGTGTAGCTATCGTGATTGATCTTCGTGTATTGATCGAGCATGCATGCATATATATATATATATATATATATATATATATATATATATATATATATATATATATAGCATAAATAAATATATATATATATATATATATATATATATATATATATATATATATATATATATATATATATATATGCTAAGTCATGTGTGTAGTGTATGATTTAGTCAGCTGTAGAGCCAGGAGCCCCGTTAATCGCGATTGATCATTGAAACGTCCACATTTGTATGTCTGGGTCAGTTGCTGTAAATGTTTTAATTATACTAGTATGGCCCCTGATAGATATTTAGTATGATTGTAGTATGATCGAGAGTGCGTTTATCAAGAACAGTTTAAGAGAGAGAGAGAGAGAGAGAGAGAGAGAGAGAGAGAGAGAGAGAGAGAGAGAGAGAGAGAGAGAGAGAGAGAGAAAACGAAACAAATAGATGTGTGATGTAAATATATGGAAAATTTGGGGAGGAGGAATGATTGGGGTGAGGGGGGGTTCCTTGCAGACTGTCGACCAGCCAGGCTTGTGGTGGAGGCCTTGTGGGTGTTTGCTCACCTTGTGTGTGTTCCTCTTTCTCCTCTTCGTTCTAAGCATACCACTGGCCTAAGACCCAGCTTAAGCCAAAGACCCCCCCCCCCTCCCGGCTCGATTTACACCTATAAGCCTAAAAAAAACAGCTTAATTTATTCTTTTCAAGACCCATAAAATTTGTTCGCCTGGAGTAATTTTATCGAATAATGGCCAGGTTAGTAGTTTACAGTGTGTTTATAAAATGTTGATTAGTCTTTTGCTTTTTAAAGTACTAAAACTTCATGATTCAAACTTTAGGGGAGAAGAATATGGATGACTTTTCATACCCAAAACAAGGCTTAATTGTGGTCTGCGTCGTGTCATTGCGTGTTGTATTAATTGTCGAAATCCTAATTAGTTACCTGGTTCCCATGCGAGCGGTCAAGGCGAAGAGGTTACAGGGTTAGTGCAGAGAGAGTGCACTTATGTTCACAATAACATGTTGGAAACAAACCATTGTTTGTCGTAGAATGCATTGTAATTTGTATTATAAATTGTATTTATGTATTTACAAATACAACTGTATTTCTGCGACCAGCCAAAGGTAGATGAACGGTTGCATGGATTTGTTTCTGTCAAGTTGTAGCTGTCATTCTCTGAGGACGGTCAATCATGCGGGATCAATGCAATGCAGTTCATGGGTTGAGAACGGCGAGCGAGAAACTCTACGGGGTGAACACGTCCAGTTCTGCGTGACTTTACCTGTTCGGTACTCATCTAATTGCGTTTACGGGGAGGTTAAGCTTCGGCTCTTTGGTCCCGCCTCTCAACCGTCACTCGAGCTGGTGTACAGATTCCTGAGTCCTTTGGGCTCTTGTCATATCTGCATATCTTGTTTGCCGATGATACGAAAATCGGTAGGGAAATTAATTCAGAGGAGGACTCACTATCACTTCAAGTTGATCTAGATAGGGTTTTGAAATGGTCAAAGGATTGGCAGATGCAGTTTAATGCTGATAAATGTAAAGTTCTGAGGTTAGGTAATGATGATAGAGTTACAAGATACGAGCTAGATGGTGTTGTGATTGCGAAGTCGGATTGCGAAAGGGATCTGGGAGTTATGATTAGTAAGAATTTAAAACAAAAGGATCAATGCATAAATGTTCGTAATAAGGCAAATCGGACACTTGGATTTATTAATCGCAGCGTTAGTAACAAGACACCTGGTGTGGTTCTCAAGCTATATCTTGCTCTAGTTAGGCCCCATTTAGATTATGCAGTTCAGTTTTGGTCGCCATATTATAGAATGGATATAAATTCACTTGAACGTGTCCAGCGTAGGATGACTAAGTTAATTCCCCAAATTAGAAATCTTTCATATGAAGAAAGATTAACAAAGCTTAAGTTGCATTCACTGGAAAGGCGAAGAGTTAGGGGTGACATGATAGAGGTTTACAAGTGGATGAATGGACATAACCGGGGGGATATTAATAGGGTATTAAAAGTATCAACACAGGACAGAACACGAAACAATGGATATAAATTGGATAAGTTTAGATTTAGGAAAGACTTGGGTAAATACTGGTTCAGTAACAGGGTTGTTGATTTGTGGAACCAATTGCCGCGTAACATTGTGGAGGTGGGGTCCCTCGATTGTTTCAAGCACGGGTTGGACAAGTATATGAGTGGGATTGGGTGGTTATAGAATAGGAGCTGCCTCGTATGGGCCAATAGGCCTTCTGCAGTTACCTTTGTTCTTATGTTCTTATGTTCTTATCTGTCTACATATCGGTGTTGAGTACCGATATGCACTTCTGTACAACATTTCCGAAATAAGATTTAGGTGAAATCTGTATCAAGATAGAGATTAACTAATTCGTAAGTTTTGTGCTAATTTGTTAGTCTCTGTATGTATAGCTGGCTGTTAAGCGTGATACAATTGCATGTATGACATTCAAATTGGATGATACGATTATCATACTAATGCAGGTATATTGCACATACCTGTCTGTCAACAGTGACAGCTTGAGTGGTATGGATCATGTTTGAGCCAGTTGCATTGACTTGCAAGCCTAATGATGGTTGTTGCTGGGTGTTGTGTGTGTGACGAGGGCACTGGACGAGCCTTGGCCTCGTTCAGTGTACAAGATCAAGCAACGTTTCGAAGTTCTTGTTGGCCATAGCTATGGTCGAAACGTTTCTCATTTTAGAAAACTGTCAAACTCCCCAGTATCAATATTGTCAATAGGAATGATTATAGCTTTATCATGCGCGCCGTTTTTTTTTCTCATCCGTCAAAAAAAGACAGAAAAATCTAATAAAATGTTTGACCAATTTCGACGAATGTATAATCACGCGGTAATTTGGCCGAGTTGAGGAAAAATGCAAAATTGGCCACAAATAGTCGAAATTAAGGTATTTGGAGCGTTCTTTTTCCTGTGGTGTAGAGTTTGGATTACAGGGTGGTGGTCTCGTGCTCTGGAGGATTACAGGGTATTCAAATCCACCCAGCTCTGGAGGATTATAAGTGTATCGTTATCCACCCAGCTCTAGCGGATTACAGGGTATCCAAATCCACCCAGCTATGGAGAATTACTTAGTATCCTTATCCACTCAACTCTGGGGGATTTCAGTGTATTCTTATCCACCGAGCTCTGGAGGATTACAGGGTATTCAAATCCACCCAGCTCTGGAGAATTACTTAGTATCCTTATCCACTCAACTCTGGGGGATTTCAGTGTTTTCTTATCCACCGAGCTCTGGAGGATTACAGGGTATCTTTATCCACCCAAAGGAGAATAGTGCACGTTTCTTACTTAATGTTCATACCAATATATATAATTATTACATATAATTATATATTATAATTATATATATATATAATTATATATTATAATTATGTATATTGGTACTGTTATCGTTCCTCTTGCTACTACTATCGTTACTTTTACTTAAATTGTTACATAGTCTACCAAGCTTGGTGGCTTCTCCCTTCATTGTTACTCCCACTATTGTTACTCCCACTATTGTTACTCCCACTATTGTTACTCCCACTATTGTTACTCCTACTATTGTTACTCCTACTATTATTACTCCTACTATTGTTACTCCTACTATTGTTACTCCCACTATTGTTACTCCCACTATTGTTACTCCTACTATTGTTACTCCCACTATTGTTACTCCTACTATTGTTACTCCCACTATTGTTACTCCCACTATTGTTACTCCTACTATTGTTACTCCTATTGTTACTCCTACTATTGTTACTCCTACTATTGTTACTCCCACTATTGTTACTCCCACTATTGTTACTCCCACTATTGTTACTCCCACTATTGTTACTCCCACTATTGTTACTCCCACTATTGTTACTCCCCCTTTTGTTACTCCCACTATTGTTACTCCTATTGTTACTCCCACTATTGTTACTCCTATTGTTACTCCCACTATTGTTACTCCCACTATTGTTACTCCTACTATTGTTACTCCTACTATTGTTACTCCCACTATTGTTACTCCCACTATTGTTACTCCTACTATTGTTACTCCCACTATTGTTACTCCCACTATTGTTACTCCCACTATTGTTACTCCCACTATTGTTACTCCCACTATTGTTACTCCTCCTATTGTTACTCCCACTATTGTTACTCCCACTATTGTTACTCCAACTATTGTAACTCCCACTATTGTTACTCCCCCTTTTGTTACTCCCACTATTGTTACTCCCACTATTGTTACTCCCACTATTGTTACTCCCACTATTGTTACTCCTACTATTGTTACTCCCACTATTGTTACTCCTACTATTGTTACTCCCCCTATTGTTACTCCTAATATTGTTACTCCCACTATTGTTACTCCCACTATTGTTACTCCCACTATTGTTACTCCCACTATTGTTACTCCCACTATTGTTACTCCCACTATTGTTACTCCCACTATTGTTACTCCCACTATTGTTACTCCCAATATTGTTACTCCCAATATTGTTACTCCCAATATTGTTACTCCCACTATTGTTACTCCCACTATTGTTATTCCCACTATTGTTACTCCTACTATTGTTACTCTCACTATTGTTTCTCCCACTATTGTTTCTCCCACTATTGTTTCTCCCACTATTGTTACTCCTACTATTATTACTTCCACTATTGTTACTACCACTATTGTTACTCCCGCTATTGTTACTCCCACTATTTTTACTGCCACTATTGTTACTCCCACTATTGTTACTCCCACTATTGTTAGTCCCACTTTTGTTACTCCTACTGTTACTCCCACTATTGTTACTCCTACTATTGTTACTCCCAATATTGTTACTCCTACTATTGTTACTCCCACTATTGTTACTCCTACTATTGTTACTCCCACTATTGTTACTCCCACTATTGTTACTCCCACTATTGTTACTCCTACTATTGTTACTCCCACTATTGTTATTCCCACTATTGTTTCTCCCACTATTGTTACTCCTACTATTGTTACTCCCACTATTGTTTCTCCCACTATTGTTACTCCTACTATTGTTACTCCTACTATTGTTACTCCCACTATTGTTACTCCCATTATTGTTACTCCCACTATTGTTACTCCCACTATTGTTACTCCCACTTTTGTTACTCCTACTGTTACTCCCACTATTGTTACTCCCACTATTGTTACTCCTACTATTGTTACTCCCACTATTGTTACTCCCACTATTGTTACTCCTACTATTGTTACTCCCACTATTGTTACTCCCACTATTGTTACTCCCAATATTGTTACTCCTACTATTGTTTCTCCCACTATTGTTACTCCTACTATTTTACTCCCACTATTGTTACTCCCACTATTGTTACTCCTACTATTGTTACTCCTACTATTGTTACTCCCACTATTGTTACTCCTACTATTGTTACTCCCACTATTGTTACTCCTACTATTGTTACTCCCACTATTTTTACTCCCACTATTGTTACTCCTACTATTGTTACTCCCACTATTGTTACTCCCACTACTGTTACTCCTACTATTGTTACTCCTACTATTGTTACTCCCACTATTGTTACTCCCACTACTGTTACTCCTATTGTTACTCCCACTATTGTTACTCCCACTACAGTTACTCCTACTATTGTTACTCCCACTATTGTTACTCCCACTATTGTTACTCCCACTATTGTTACTCCCACTACAGTTACTCCTACTACTGTTACTCCCACTATTGTTACTCCCACTATTGTTACTCCTACTATTGTTACTCCCACTATTGTTACTCCCACTATTGTTACTCCCACTACTGTTACTCCTACTATTGTTACTCCCACTATTGTTACTCCCACTATTGTTACTCCCACTATTGTTACTCCCACTATTGTTACTCCCACTACAGTTACTCCTACTATTGTTACTCCCACTATTGTTACTCCTACTATTGTTACTCCTACTATTGTTACTCCCACTATTGTTACTCCCACTATTGTTACTCCCACTATTGTTACTCCCACTATTGTTACTCCCACTATTGTTACTCCCACTATTGTTACTCCCACTATTGTTACTCCCACTACTGTTACTCCCACTATTGTTACTCCCACTATTGTTACCTCTTCTACCACAAATACCACAAAGTTTAGGCCTAATGTCGGCCTCCAACGTACAGAAAGTGTTTTGTAAAATGTTAAATATGCCAGGCTTAAGCGAGCTGCTGCTAAATGGTGGTTAATGGTGCTAAACAGCTCGGTCTTGTACAGGTGGGGGGAGGATTGGTGCTTACATTAGCGGGATTGTGCTTATCTTAGCGGGATTGTGCTCACCTTAGCGGGATTGTGCTAAAGGTGACGTTAGGGGATTAGGCTAGGAGCCTGCTTCCCATATGGGCGGCTCAGTGACGCTTAGTTGTTCTTGGTCTTGCTGGGTTATACTGGCCCTCTCTCTCTCTCTCTCTCTCTCTCTCTCTCTCTCTCTCTCTCTCTCTCTCTCTCTCTCTCTCTCTCTCTCTCTCTCTCTCTCTCTCTCTCTCTCTCTCTCTCCCTCTCTTTCTACCTCTCTCCCACTCCCTCCCTCCATCTACCTCTCTCTCTCACCTCACCCTGTCTCCTCCCCCCACTCTGTCCCCTCCGTCCCTCCATCTCCCTCTCTCTCTGTCTCCTCCCCCCACTCTGTCCCCTCCGTCCCTCCATCTCCCTCTCTCTCTGTCTCCTCCCCCCACTCTGTCCCCTCCGTCCCTCCATCTCCCTCTCTCTCTGTCTCCTCCCCCCACTCTGTCCCCTCCGTCCCTCCATCTCCCTCTCTCTCTGTCTCCTCCCCCCACTCTGTCCCCTCCGTCCCTCCATCTCCCTCTCTCTCTGTCTCCTCCCCCCACTCTGTCCCCTCCGTCCCTCCATCTCCCTCTCTCTCTGTCTCCTCCCCCACTCTGTCCCCTCCGTCCCTCCATCTCCCTCTCTCTCTGTCTCCTCCCCCCACTCTGTCCCCTCCTTCCCTCTCTCTCCCTCCCTCTCTCTCACCCTCACGCCCCTCTCCCTCTCCATAACCCGGCGAGTCCCCTTAGTCTTGTAGAGGGGAGAGAAACAACTGAGGGGAGGGGGGGGGAACACAATGCACTTCAGCTTTTTTTATGTTCCGCTTCCTTCCATGAGGGTAGTTTAATATTGATCCTCTGCTGTCAGCACGCGCGCCTGTCTGTCTGTTTGTCTCTTCGTCCGTCAGATTCCTAATGGTCTCTTCCCTTTATATGAGTAGCTGAGATCTCCTGTAGTGATTGTGTGTCTCACAATCAGAGGTGATTGTGTGTCGCACAATCAGAGGTGATTGTGGAGATGGCAAGACAGCTCCGGCACGAGGGACTACGCGTGAAGGCAGTAGCATTCCTTGTATCGCGAGGGAAGAGGATATACCTGATCAATCGGGCTGTGATTCTTACGCCGGGCAGCTTAGCGTCTTAATAACAGCCTGGCTGACCACACTACCAACCATGAGGCCTGGTCAGAGACCGGGCCGCGGAGGGCGTTGATCCTCGGGACTAACGCAAGGTATAGGGTAAATCTCATTAATGTATTAATACTTTGTCTAGTATCGCAGCTGTGTTTAACGTGGGCATAATTCGTCACGGCAAAGTTGTTGTATTTACAGTTATATTGCAGAAATCTTCCCCGGTGAGGCGAATGACCAAATGTAAACAGAAGCTAGCCAGCGAGCCATAGTGTGGCGTAGACTCGCTGCTGGATGCCCGCAGGGATCAACACTATAAAAATCGCAAGCCTATATATTCCTTGCGTTTTTTTTGCTGCCAGAACGCGGCATTACGAGCTCCTGATTGCCTGTAATTATAATATCACCCACTGGGGATTTTGTTTTGGGAGCCCAAACGGGAGGGCTGACAGGGTCTCAAGTGCTCTTGGGTCTGGTGCACTGCTCTGTGGCCTCGAGGAAATGAGACGTTCCCAACACACAGCACCGCTCCTGTGCCAGGTAAGTCCACTTCGGGCTCACCATAGCCCGTGCTACTTGGAACTTGTTCCGAGTAGCTGAATCTATAACAACAACAACAACAACAAACGACGTTCCCAGACGTTGCCCATGTAGACTCTGAGAGGATAGGAGTGGCTAGGTAGCCCAGAGGGGGGGGGGATAGGTCTTGTGGATGAGCTGCGGATGTAAAACTGTGATTGAACTGTCATGTGATGCGTCAATTAGACGTTGAGAACTGGGGAGCGTCTAAATGATATACTTCGAGTGTTCGTATTCTCGTTACTACGTCGTAGACGATGTTCTGGTGATGCGTCTTAAGTTTGTCAGTGACAGTCACCGTTACCACTCACTGTTGTAGCAGTCACCGTTACCACTCACTGTTGTGACAGTCACCGTTACCACTCACTGTTGTGACAGTCACCATTACCATTCACCACTCACTGTTGTGACAGTCACCATTACCACTCACTGTTGTAGCAGTCACCGTTACCACTCACTGTTGTGACAGTCACCGTTACCACTCACTGTTGTGACAGTCACCATTACCATTCACCACTCACTGTTGTGACAGTCACCATTACCATTCACCACTCACTGTTGTGACAGTCACCATTACCACTCACTGTTGTGACAGTCACCATTACCACTCACTGTTGTGACAGTCACCATTACCACTCACTGTTGTGACAGTCACCATTACCACTCACTGTTGTGACAGTCACCATTACCACTCACTTGTGACAGTCACCATTACCACTCACCACTGCTCTCATTATACTACACCACTCGTCACTATACTACACCACTCGTCACTATATCCGTCACCACACCGTACTCAAGCCTTCACTATACCACACCACTTGTCACTATACCCATCACTACACAGTACTCATGTCTTCACTATACTACACCACCCGTCACTATATCAGTCACTACACAGTACTCTTGTATGCACTATACTACACCACCCGTTACTATATCAGTCACTACACAGTACAGTTGATGCACTATACTACACCACCCGTCACTATACCCGTCACCGTTACATAGTATACTCAAGTTATTACAACGAACACAGTTTTCAAACCAGTCTTTACCCAGGAGTTTCCTAAATCTAAACGTAACCAGTTTACATCCATAGTTTACCCGAGCACTTCTTGCAGGTCTACGTTCAATCCCCGACCGTCCAAGAGGTTGGGTACCATTCCTTTCCCCCCGTCCCATCCCAAATCCTTATCCTGACTCCTTCCAAGTGTTATATAGTCGAAATGGCTAAGCGCTTTCCCATGATAATTCCTTTCCTGATATTTTAAGATCTGATATCTTACCATATATCCACTCACCATCTGAGCTAACTAATTATGAGCGCGTGTCTGATATGAAGCAGAGATGGAGCAGTCAACAGGGTCGTATTAGTATCTTTTTATTATCTGGTGTCATTCACTCATATCATTTAGTATCTGGTATCATCTGGAATATCTGGGAGAGAGTTTCAATGGGGTTCTTAAAGTGGCTTAAGAAGCTCTTCGGCCGCTGCTTCAGTTGCTGTTCGGACGGAGACGAAGGGAAACAGTCTCCTTCAGAACTTAGGCTGGCGAATGAGCAGAGTCCCGGCGATGTGACCCAACTACTTAGCTCCGAATTGGACCAGGAGGTCCAGAGCGGTCTGGGCGAGGGGCAGGAACCGGACTGGGAGCTCCTGGGCGAGGGGCAGGAACCGGACTGGAAGTTCCAGGGCGAGCCCTGGACCGAGCTGGAACCGGACTGGGAGCTCCAGGGCGAGGGGCTGGAACCAGACTGGGAGCTCCAGGGCGAGGGGCAGGAACCAGACTGTGAGTTCCAGGGCGAGGGGCTGGAACCAGACTGTGAGTTCCAGGGCGAGGGACTGGAACCAGACTGTGAGTTCCAGGGCGAGGGGCTGGAACCAGACTGTGAGTTCCAGGGCGAGGGGCTGGAGCCAGACTGTGAGTTCCAGGGCGAGGGGCTGGAACCGGACTGGGAGCTCCAGGGCGAGGGGCTGGAACCAGACTGTGAGTCCCAGGGCGAGGGGCTGGAGCCAGACTGTGAGTCCCAGGGCGAGGGGCTGGAGCCAGACTGTGAGTTCCAGGGCGAAGGGCTGGAACCGGACTGGGAGCTCCAGGGCGAGGGGCTGGAACCAGACTGTGAGTTCCAGGGCGAGGGGCTGGAACCAGACTGGGAGCTCCAGGGCGAGGGGCTGGAACCAGACTGTGAGTTCCAGGGCGAGGGGCTGGAACCATTCTGTGAGTTCCAGGGCGAGGGGCTGGAACCAGACTGTGAGTTCCAGGGCGAGGGGCAGGAACCAGACTGTGAGTTCCAGGGCGAGGGGCTGGAACCAGACTGGGAGCTCCAGGGCGAGGGGCTGGAACCAGACTGTGAGTTCCAGGGCGAGGGGCTGGAACCATTCTGTGAGTTCCAGGGCGAGGGGCTGGAACCAGACTGTGAGTTCCAGGGCGAGGGGCAGGAACCAGACTGTGAGTTCCAGGGCGAGGGGCTGGAACCAGACTGGGAGCTCCAGGGCGAGGGGCTGGAACCAGACTGTGAGTTCCAGGGCGAGGGGCTGGAACCAGACTGTGAGTTCCAGGGCGAGGGGCTGGAACCAGACTGTGAGTTCCAGGGCGAGGGGCTGGAACCAGACTGGGAGCTCCAGGGCGAGGGGCTGGAACCAGACTGTGAGTTCCAGGGCGAGGGGCTGGAACCAGACTGTGAGTTCCAGGGCGAGGGGCTGGAACCGGACTGGGAGCTCCAGGGCGAGGGGCTGGAACCAGACTGTGAGTTCCAGGGCGAGGGGCTGGAACCAGACTGTGAGTTCCAGGGCGAGGGGCAGGAACCAGACTGGGAGCTCCAGGGCGAGGGGCTGGAACCAGACTGTGAGTTCCAGGGCGAAGGGCAGGAACCGGACTGGGAGCTCCAGGGCGAGGGGCTGGAACCAGACTGTGAGCTCCAGGGCGAGGGGCTGGAACCAGACTGGGAGCTCCAGGGCGAGGGGCTGGAACCAGACCGGGAGGGCCAGGGCGAGGGGCTGGAACCAGACCGGGAGGGCCAGGGCGAGGTACTGGAGCCGGACCGGGTGGACCAGAGCGGTCCGGGCGAAGCGGCGCCGCTCGGGGTGTCAGGACCCGAGTAGGACCGGGCAGAGTATTTAAAAAAAATGAAAAAGATGAAAAAGGCAAATCGGAACAATAAAAAGAAAATGTACCAGGAGCTTCGGGAGAAGCTGGCGAAGGGGGAAGGTCAAGATATTGACCCGAAACATCTTCAAGCAATTGAAAGGTTTAACCAAAAGCGTTGAGTTACCTTGAGTTACCTTGACAGTGGCTCAAGGCGCCGCCACAGCCCCCCGTACCTCACTAAAAGTGTACAATTACCAAAGTGTAGTTACAGGATGAGAGCCACGCTCGTAGAGTCCTGTTTTAGTACTCTTTATCATATAAAGTTTTGAAACTACTGCTGGTTTTTGGCCTCCACCACCACCACCACCTCACCTAACTTGTTCCAACCGTCTACCACTCTGTTACCTTTGTGTCTTCGGCAGCTTTGTTTAGTTAGTTTAAATCTATGACCTCTAGTTCCTGAAATTCCAGGTCTCAGGAAATCTGCACCATCAATTTTATCGATTCCTGTTACTATTTTGTGTGTGTGTGTGTGTGTTCAACCCGTCTTCTTAAAAATAACGTCGCTTTTCGCTCGTATGCGCGCTATGGCTAAAAATGGACGTAATTTGAAATGAAATCGGCTCACGAAAGTGATGTACTGTCCCGTTTTCTGTTCGAGTCCTCCATCTTACTCGGTTAGGTTAGGAGAGGCAAATTTCAATTAACGTTTTTCATGACGTTTTGAAACCCTCCTGCCCTGTCCAACCACTTGGGCTGAACGGTAGAGCAACGATCTCGCTTCATGCAGGTCGGCGTTCAATCCCCGACTATCCAAATGGTTGGCCACCATTCCTTCCCTCTGTACTTTCCCAACTCCTTATCCTTATAACCCTTCCCCCGTCCCACCCCAAATCCTAATCCTGATCCCTTCTAAGTGCTATACAGTCGTAATGACTTGGCGCTTTCTTCCTGATAATGTAATTCAATTCCTAACTTACCAGAGGACCCTCAACTTGCTGTTTTGACGAGAAAAAATCCAAAATATATTTTAAATTATTTTTCAATTTCGAATTACGTCTATTTTTGGCCATACGGACAAACGGCCAAATTCAGACGTAATTTGTAAGATCACAGAGGTCAGATTCACGAAGCAGTTACGCAAGCACTTACGAACGTGTACATCTTTCCTCAATCTTTGACGCCTTTGGTTACATTTATTAAACAGTTTACAAGCATGAAAACTTGCGAAGCAACTGTTGTTATTGTTATAAACAGCCTCCTGGTGCTTCGGAGCTCATTAACTGTTTAATAATTGGAAACAAAGCCGCCAAAGATTGAGAAAAGATGTACAGGTTCATAAGTGCTTGCGTAACTGCTTCGTGAATGTGGCTCCTCGTTGTTAGTGTTTGAATATGTTTAAAGTTAAGCGCGGATGTTGCCTAGTCACGTGTGGCTAACAAAAAAAAAATAATTTATAATATAATCTTCCCCTCCAGGTGAGCACTAATAGGTAAACACTGATAGGTGCGTTGAACAACAACAATTACACGTGTTTGGTTGTTTGATTTAGTGCATGAGGGCTTTGGTGTGTTTGTTTGTTTGTAATTGTTTTGTAATAGGAATCAGAGTTTGTGTTAAACAGGTAAAGACAAAGGCTTCCATCTTCACTGCACACTATCTTCATTCACTGTCAAGATCCTTACTGTACATTATCATCCACCACCTTCGCTGTAAACATTCTCAGTATTCACTATTATCATCATCTTCACCATCATCATCATATCACGGTAAACGTCTTCACCACTCACTATCATCACCACTTAAACCTTTCACTATACACATTCATCACTGTACCCGTCTATACTAGTCAACCATCATCACTATACACTGTAAACCATCTTCACTACACTATCTTTGTCACTAACCAGGCTGCGAGCAGCCGCGTCCAACAGCCTGGTTGACCAGATGACCAACCGGGAGGCCTGGTTGGAGACCGGGCCGCGGGGCTGTTAAGCCCCGGAAGCAAACACAACATACATGTAACACATGGAATGCATTAGGCAGTGATGTGGTGGAGGCTGACTCCATACACAGTTTCAAGTGTAGATATGATAGAGCCCAGTAGGCTCAGGAACCTGTATTGACGGTTGAGAGGCGGGACCAAAGAGCCAGAGCTCAACCCCCGCAAGCACAACTAGGTGAGTATACACACACACACACACACACACACACACACACACACACACACACACACACACACACACACACACACACACACACACATGGGACATGGGTGGAAACTGGAAACTCAGATGAGTCACAGAGATGTTAGGAAGTTTTCTTTTAGCGTGAGAGTAGTAGAAAAATGGAATGCACTTGGGGAACAGGTTGTGGAAGCAAATACTATTCATACTTTTAAAACTAGGTATGATAGGGAAATGGGACAGGAGTCATTGCTGTAAACAACCGATAGCTAGAAAGGCGGGATCCAAGAGTCAATGCTCGATCCTGCAAGCACATATAGGTGAGTACATATAGGTGAGTACACACACACACACACAACACATGAAGGGGAACAGCCTACCTGTAACGACGCGTGAAAGAGACCTGGGGGTGGACGTAACACCTAATCTATCTCCTGAGGCACATATAAATAGGATAACGACAGCAGCGTACTCTACACTGGCAAAAGTTAGAACATCATTCAGAAACCTAAGTAAGGAGGCATTTAGGGCGCTTTACACTGCCTACGTAAGGCCAGTCTTAGAGTATGCCGCCTCATCATGGAGTCCCCATCTGAAGAAGCATATAATGAAACTGGAAAAGGTTCAGAGGTTTGCAACGAGACTCGTCCCAGAGCTACGAGGGATGGGGTATGAGGAGCGCCTGAGGGAACTGTGCCTTACGACACTAGAAAGAAGAAGGGAGAGGGGGGACATGATAGGAACGTATAAGATACTCAGAGGGATTGACAGAGTGGACATAGACGAAATGTTCACACGGAATAGTAGCAGAACGAGGGGACATGGGTGGAAGCTTGAAACTCAGATGAGTCACAGAGATGTTAGGAAGTTTTCTTTTAGCGTGAGAGTAGTGGGGAAATGGAATGCACTTCAGGAACAGGTTGTGGAAGCAAATACTATTCATAATTTTAAAACCAGGTATGATAGGGAAATGGGACAGGAGTCATTGCTGTAAACAAACGATGCTCGAAAGGCGGGATCCAAGAGTCAATACTCGATCCTGCAGACACAACTAGGTGAGTACAACTAGGTGAGTACACACACACACACACACACACACACACACACACACACACACACACACACACACACACACACACACACACACACACACACACACACACACAAGGAAGCAGCTCCGTAACAGCTGTCTAACACTCAGGTACCTATTTACTGCTAGGTAACAGGGGCATTCAGGGTGAAAGAAACTTTGCCCATTTGTTTCTGCCTGGTCCGGGAATCGAACGCGGGCCACAGAATTACGAATCCTGCGCGATGTCCGCTCAGCTACCACACCCCTAGTGTGTGGGGGGGGGGGCAGGGGAGACAGGAAGAGAAGGTAGGATAATGCACGGAGAGAGAGAGAGAGAGAGAGAGAGAGAGAGAGAGAGAGAGAGAGAGAGAGAGAGAGAGAGAGAGAGAGAGAGAGAGAGAGAGAGAGAAAGGAAAAGAGGGTGGGGGGGGGGAGTCGAAGGTAGCCTGTACATAAGGAAAACAGTAACAGTAAATATTTGTATAGAAGTGTGTGTGTGTGTGTGTGTGTGTGTGTGTGTGTGTGCAGTAGAGGCCAGGGCAGGGAGGGAGGAAGAGAGGGGGCAGGGGAGGGGTGGGAAGGATGCATAGGAAGGGAGACGGAGGGGGGAGTCGAACCGGGAGAGGAAGGAAGACATGTTAAGAAAACCAGAATGGGAGGCAAGACAGTTCAAGAGAAGGGAGGGAGGGGGGGGGAGGGAGGGGGGAAGCGGGGAATACGTGACAGCTGCTGATGTGCACCTGTTGCAGACACCCGTGTTGCATGTAGGCCTATTGCAACACCTGTCCCTGCTACCCCCCCCCCCCCCACAGAGCTTATTAGGGCAAAAACTGCGAAATGAGACTCCTCCCCCTCCCCTTGAAACCCCCCCCCCTCACTCTCCCGCCCCCTCATCCCCCACACTCCCTCATCTTCCCCTCACACTCTCCCCTGCACCTCTTGCACACTCGGGAACCCCTCATCTCCCCTCACTCCCTCATCTCCCCTCACTCCCTCATCTCCCCTCACCACCTCACCTGCCTCAACACACCTCACCTGGGATGTAAACAACAAGGGGGGGGGGAAGGACCCCACATTTTAAACCATTAACAAAGGCTAATAATATACTACAAACAACCCAGCTAATATTTACTTCAAACACCTTCTACTCAAAATTAACCCACATTAAAAAAATAACTTAATTCTAACATAGAACCCACAAGCACAGCAATAATTCCAGGTAAAACCAGGTAAAGAAAACCCACAGCTTCAAGGAATGCCAAGAATACCTTTTTTCAGGTCCCCAAATCCTCCACCTTAAGGGCTGGCTGGCTGGCTGGCTGCTCGGGTCCTACAAGCCGTGACACTAAGGCCTCGAAACCCCATAAAACAAAATCCCTTGCAGGCTCACAAGAGGCAGAGAGACCCAAACACCTGCCCCCTACCCAAACACCTGCCCCCTACCCAAACACCCGCCCCCTACCCAAACACCCGCCCCCTACCCACTCCTACTACTACTTCTACTCCTACTTCTACTCCTGACTTGTGATAGTTTGATCCACCAGGCTGTTGCCTGGTGGGCCGCTAGAAAATTATCTAGTTTTCTCTTGACGATGTCCACGGTTGTTCCGGCAATATTTCTTATGCTTGCTGGGAGGACGTTGAACAACCGTGGACCTCTGATGTTTATACAGTGTTCTCTGATTGTGCCTATGGCACCCCTGCTCTTCACTGGTTCTATTCTGCATTTTCTTTCATATCGTTCACTCCAGTACGT